CTTTCAGTAATAGACAATTATTTACTTCTATTTTCATGATATAAAAGGAAAATCTTAATGGATTCCACCGATTTCAAACTTGTCCAAATTAAGTCTTATATTCTTTTCATTTCAATATATTTCTGTTCCCCCTGAAAGGTTTAATTCACCGTTTCTGTCTGCAGGAGGGTGAGACAAAGGTCCCCCTCCTTCTCACTTTTGGAGGCTTTTTGCTTCTTGGGATTTTTCTTTTTTTTCCCCCAGGAAATCAATTTCCAAGTAGACAAGAGAAAATCATTGTTCTTACGCAGTTCCAAACACGCTGTTTACAATCAGCTTGAAATAGTACTTTTGGACTTCAGTTGCTTGTAGCTTGAGCTAGACTTGGAAGTTAAGCTAGCCTCTTCTCCTGCCCGTTTCTGGAGGGCTTTTCCCAAACTGATCGGATTGACTGCCATCCCTCTGCAATCGGCATGATTTTCCCTCTTCTATGTTGCCTCTATGGGGCAACTTCAGGCCCATTTTGGATCCCCTGGCAGGCAGAAATCCGCCATAGGGTGCGGAGCCCCGCAATCCTTCAACTGCTGCACTACTGTGCAAAAGTAGAAGTCCTCATAGGATCTTATTTTAAATAATGCATAAAAGCTGCATTGAAAATTTTATAACACAGATGATATGGTTGATTTAAACCTTTTTCAATCCTAGAATTAATACACTGTAAGTCTTTTACTAACAAATCTCTGATAATCTAAGAGCACATAAGACATTTATTTAGGCAATATTTTTCCATTGCAACAAATTAGATGTCAACATCTACTATGTGACATGTGATGACGTAGGCATTCCACAAGGACACACAACTGCCAAATATGTAACTTTTTTTTACTTTAAAACTTTTATTTTAATGTGTACAAGTTGATGGTTAGAATTGCAGAAATTAAAGCTAAATTTAATACATTATGGATAGGTTTGTAAGAGAAGCATACACTTGGACCAGCACAAGTAAATAACTGAACCTATAATATTTACAGATAGAGAGAGGTACATTGGTTCTCAAATGCTTTGAAACTCATCAAATTTGGTACTCAACCCATTTTGATGCAAAAAAATTTGTCCTGCTACACATTGTTTGTTTGGTACTCAACATATAAGCTAGAAATTGTTGGTGTTGTTTGCCTTGTGACTCAGTACAATATTCCTAATGGGAAAAATCTGTTTGGTACTCATCATTTTTGGTACTCATCATGCCTCCTGGAACCAATTAACAATGAGTACCGAGGTACCACTGTACCTGTTTTCTGTAAAGTAATATATTAAAAAATCTGTCCATTTTGTTCAAAGCATGTCAGAATTAAGTTCAAAGCATGTCAGAATTCATCAAAGAATACAGCAGGACAACTATTGTCACCATGTTTACCAGCACAATACTATTTGTAATTTATCCCATTAGGTTTTTTAAAAAATTGATAAAATGCATCACTCTTTAAAAAATTCTTGTACTCCAAAATAATAATTGTTTTCTTCTTCCTTAGTCTCTTCATATTGCTTTTTTAAATCTGTAATTTATCCCATTAGGTTTTTTTAAAAAATTGATAAAATGCATCACTCTTTAAAAAATTCTTGTACTCCAAAATAATAATTGTTTTCTTCTTCTTTAGTCTCTTCATATTGCTTTTTTAAATCTCAGGCTCTTTTATTCCTTCCAGAATCACAAAGTTATCACAATTGTTCATCCTAGTCTTATATTAGCAAAAGGAGGGGGAAGTGTTAAAGTGCTCAGAGGTTAAAGACATGGAGCTTCTCAGCTGGAAAGCTGACAGCCTGAGTTCAAAACACAAGTGCCACACCACGGGGTGAGCTCCTTTTACTTATCCCAGCTCCTATCCACCTAGCAGTTCAAAAGCATGCAGATAAAGTAGTTTAAAAAGTACCACTTCTGTGGGAAGGTAGTGTTTCGTCCGCCATGGCATACAGTCATGCTGGCCACATGACCACAGAAATATGTTTGGACAATGCTGGCTCATTCAGCTAAGAAACAGACACGAGCACCATCCCCTAGAGTCGGAAATGACTGGATAGGGGAAACCTTCACTTTTATCTTTATATTGGCAAAACTATTACCTTTATTAAAAATATGATTCCAGGGACAATACTTCCTTCATAGGTAAAACACATCTACTTTGTAAATCTAAAGTAAGAAAATTGTCTAAGTCACTTTTCTGAGTTAAGATCCACATATTCAAATCATGCTTCTAGTTTATTATTTGTATGTCCCTTTTAACTATTGAAATCTCAGCCAATTTCATTTGTTAGTCTTGTATAACATATTTTTCACTACCATTTTTATATTCTGTTAATTTTAAATCTATATCCAAGAGAATCTAATTTTCAGCAATATCCTCTTCTATCTCTTCTTTTAAGTCCATTTCTATTGTATGAGATAGTCTAAAGCAGGGGCATCAAACTCGCAACATCAGGTGATATGTTTTTTGCCATTGTTGGCAATGGGGTGGGCGCAGTTTCTCTATGATGCATCTGGCCCGCGGGCCAGCAGTTTGACACCCCTGATCTAAAAAGTAAGTTCTGGATACGTTATTGCCAAATATCCTTAAATTCTTCCAGAGTTTTCCTTGTTACCTTCTGGGAGAAGGCTTTGTGGTATCCACAGCAGAACATCCAGATTCAGCCATAGTTTCATTCCATATAGCATTAATCTTGTGAACTCTCAAGCTTCCTCCTTCCGTTATATACTATGCAAGATGGACAGTATTTAATATTTATTTGTTATGTATATTTAGGGGTGTGGGTCTATACATATGTTGTATGTAGTATGTTTTTAGGGTATGTTATGTATGTGTTTCACTTTGAAAGCGGGCAACTAAATTTCATTTTTGATGTGTGCTGTTGTGCCCACAGTAAAAAAATGACAATAAAGGTAAAGGTTAAGTTAATTTTTTTCTCCATTCTGTATTAGTGAGAATTCTCCTTTAATTATGTTTTATTTTTTTCTGGTTGCCTCTAATAACCAGCCTTCAATCAGCTACCTATATCATGTTTTTCTTTCATCCGGAACATTTCTCAGGAAGAGATTTCTTACACTTAAACTCAGATCTTCATATATTTTTTAATATGATTTTAAACAAACAACAGGAAATATTCTTAACATTTTTAATAGTCTTGTTTCCCAGTAGTCCATATGAAAGCTTTCCAAAATCAACATTCAAATCACTTTTTCACTGCTTATTTCCAAATAAAAATTCATTTTGCGGGGTAATGGTGGATGAAGGAACCCAGGGTCAAGTGCATGCTTCATCATGGAAATTTATTAAATGATTTTGGGCTGGTCATTCTCTTCATCCTTCGGTTCATCCTTCCTCCCCAGAGTTGTTTTGGTAATCAAATGGAGATACCGATGTAAGTCATATAGAGGTATTTACAAAAGTATGATATAAACCAAATAAATCAATAAAGATGCAAAATTTACATCATGTCATAGACAGCTCCACTATGTAGGTAGACCATGCAATCAATTCCACTCAAAAAATAAAAGTACTTCTATTGAAATTGGTTGTAGTAACAGAATCTTACAAGTGTTGCACTTCCTCATTTCCCTTATATTTCAGAGGTCTTTCACTGAGTGACTTCTGAATATCATCTAGACATTCCAGACTTAAAAAATGTTTCAGACCCTTTTGCCTAGACAAAAGTTTGTGCATATCTCTATCGAGGTCATTCTTCTTACTCCCTATAGTTACAAATTCCCCCACTATATTTGTCCTATATTTCATTTATTCTCCTACAAAATATTTGGGACAAAGGGAGAACCAAGATGTGGGTGAATAGATGGGAAAGAGTTTGAGACCTTTTCAACATCTATACATTTGCATGCTTCTGGAGCACAACCTCTTAATAAGGCTAAAATAGGACATAGCATACTATTGAGAAAGAGACTGAGAATAAGACAACTTAACTTAACTTAACTTAAACAATTAACAGAAATTAAATCAATCTGTTGTATATTCCCATAAATATAAGCTACATACAATCCAAAGCAAAATAAAATATGTATTTGACAGTCCCCAATAACTTTGAATATTACAGTAATATAATAGTTTCTATTGGAAAAAAACATTTATATTCTGAGAACAAACTATGTATCATTGGGATCATCTCTAAGTGCTCCATATATTCAAATCAAACTATGCTGGTGAAGATTGTGAGTGTTACATTCCACAACAGAAGGTATAAGTTGTCTAAGAAACAGGATATATAGAACTAGACTGCTGAATCCTTAATCAGCTAAAAGAATTAAAGAAGGAAATTCCCAGAAAAATCAACAGTTGATTTATCTGTTTTAGTTAGCTGAATTTCTATTGTGAATAAAAGCAACAGATCTAATTCTTATAAAATTAGTCTGCTTTATCTGATAATACAAAATAAAGGAAAATGCTCAAACATCAATGTTTGCTACTTTTGATGTGGCATATATTTTAATTTAAATGATATCATTTAGAGAAAGGATTTACTTACTTTTTCTGCCATATGAAAATTGTTATATCTATGTTATTACAGGAACCTACAATGGCTTTCATCTGTTCCAAAACAGGCATATCTCCATTCACACCTCTCCCAACACATAAGATCATGCATAAATTACATATGAAATCTTAACAATTTTATCTTGGTCAGAAAATTATTAATAATATTCCATTCAGAGGTTTAGTCCATATTTTAGGCCACCTTTCCAGGAACACTCAGTACACTCAATTTTAAGCTTTATCATGTGAGAAATGTAATTTAGGAACATTAAAAAAATCCTAAACAAAATATAACTCCCCTAAATCTTGCAACCGATAATATAAGAATGAAAATATCGACGTATTCTCCAAACGCTTTCTGTAATCTTATACAATACAGTATTTAAGAAGTTTATTTACTTTTACTTGACCTAACTCTAATCCTGATTCTGTTTTTATTCTTTTCTACTGAAGACTGCTAAGAGCAACAAAAATGGCTTCTCATTACATTGCTCTGCAGTGATTTGTCTCTAAATCTTGCACTAAATCAGAAGAAACAGAAAGTTTCAACAATCTTATTTTAATTAATTTTCCATTTTTATCACACACACACACACACACACACACACACACACACACATGCAGTAAAAAACAAATGCGTGCCTTTTAAGAGTAAAACAATTAAGGACATTGGATGGGCCGATGACTAGGTCCAGGAGCCATACGCAAAGCCGGCCGGTATCATAAAAAGGGGACTCCCACTGACTTACTTTCATGCTCTGATTATGTCAGCAGTGCTGGCCAACAAAAGCTCAGCATTCTTATTAAACAATTTCTAGTTTGATATTATCCTGGTGCTCGTTTTTATTTGTTTTTTACTGCATGGCTTTACCCAGGATTTGAATTTTTAACGTAATTAGAGACATATATACATATATATCAAAACAGCTATATTCTGGGATAAAACTGGGATGCAAATTTATTTTGCTCCAATAGATTTTCTCCAAAATATTATTCTCTTTTAAAGAGCACTGATATTCCTATCCCCAGTGAAATTATTAGAGTTTGCAAAATCATTATTAGTTTAGATTTATAAAAGAAATGCAACCACTATTTTATTCTAGGAAAAGCTCTACCCTTTATTTCTGCAGGCCACGTTCTTTCAAATATAAAGGAATATGTATGATCTAAATTACTGTATAATTCTAAAAAAAGATGTTTTTTTATAAAAGTATCTATAATGTTCTATTTTTATGAACAGAGTTCAAAACATCAAAAATAAAGATTTGGTTCATCAGGAAGCTTCTTTTGTTCGAACTGTTTTAATTTATATTTCTTATAAAACTGTTTTATGTTCTCAGGCATTTTACTGATATATCTTCTATTGTCTACATAGGGCTTTCTTTAACCAAAGTATATATGCTAACACAAAATTACAAAGCCACATGGATGAAAAAGCAATTAGAGATAATACTTCAGTGTTCTAATGTCACCTGTGTTTTACCTAATTCAGAATAATCTTGTTACTTTAACAATCAATTGGGTAAAATTTACAAATGAATTCTATTTCCATATGTTTTCTTTAAATGTTTGTTTAAATTATAATCAAAATTAAAAATTAGTATTTCATACATGAAGTTTTAGAATAGATTTTAAGTTTAGACATAAAGACAAACTTACCATTCTCACTGTCGGACTTGTTTTCATGCTCAGTATCAGTTAAAGTAAGAGCTGAGTTGGAACGACTTGAGAGACAGGAACTGCGGCCTGATTTGACCCCCCTGCCCCATAGTCTCATGGCATGCTCTGGAGACATCACTCCTTCATTTTCAGTGTCAGCATCTGACCCTGCACTGATAGAGTAACCTCTGTGGGGAAGCCCCATTTCAGCACAAAATGCCAGTCCTCTTCGAGTCGCTGGTTCACAAACTCCTAACTGTCTTAGGGTAAAATTCTGTCCTAATTAGGGAAGAAAAACAAAACATAACATAAGATTTTTTTATTTTCTTAGAAACAGAGTAATTAAATTAAGATCACATTAACTATACACATTTTTCTAGTACAGTAATATTTAAATTTTTGTTGCTAAAATCTACAGGGCTATAGTTAATACGTCCATTGTAATTTGGCCAATACGTGATGAACCTTTTAATTTTCTTCTTTCACATCATTACTGTTTCCATTCTTCAATCCCTACAAAGTATTCATACATATCACTGCAAATCTAGAAGGACTGAGAACATGCAGCAGTTCTCCCCCTCAAGCTGATTGGGAAAAGATTTTTAAAAAAAGAAATATAATCAGTATCTACCATAAGCTACTACAAATCCAGGTGCAACAAAAATTCCCTTAAACACTCACTACCCTTATATTTCATAGCTGAAAGTTGCTTTACATAATTTTAAAAGAAAAATAGAGAATAAAACAGTAAAATAATATTAATCGCTTTTTCAAAAAATTATATCCCACAAGTAATGTAATGTTGCTCTTATATAGCTTTCTGTGTGGCAAATGTAAATATATGTATATATAACAATATTATTGAACTGGACAGATTCAAAAAGGACAGAAAAATGAAGGCATGGTTCATGAAATGCAAACAAAGTTAATGTCCCAGACCAGGCAGCTTTTAACTGAGGCAGTTAATTACTTTATTGTTGTGGTCTTATCAGTTGTTGCAATCAGTTTTATCTGAGTCAGGATTGTAAATGGATTCTAAGACACTCATAAATAATGTAAACAGTTGCTGCAATTATCTACAAATCAAAGAGTACTTATCACTATGTTGCACATACATAACAGAATAAAAATGCATGGAGGGAAAAAGATAAGTGTCTCAACACTAAATAGTCCATAATGGAAAGTAAACTGTGTGAAGACTATTAGGATGAATCAGTAAACAATCAAATGTTTAAACAAGAATCACACTATATAGTTTACTGTTGGCTGTTTAAAGATTAAAATCCAGGATTCTCTGAACATTCACTAGATATTTTAATATCATTACCAATGTTTAGCTATTGTACAGTTTCGTTTGTAAGTTCTAAATTGACAAAAGTGACAATATTGTTTGAGAACAGAATGAATGGAATATTTATTTATTTATTTATTCATTTATTCAATGAAAATTTCTACTGTATTCAAATGACACCTGACATAAGATTAGCATAACTTAAATTCAAAACAGATACTTTACTATATGTCTAGGGGGTAGTGCTATCATAACCTCAAAATGTACATTAAGAGGTAGGTTGACATATTTCACCAAACTATAAAACACTCTTTACAAACAACAATCACTGTGTTTATAAGGTAAGACAAAATATGTTATGGCCCAATATAATGTATAAATTTAAATATATATATTTATAATTCTTGAGAATTCACAAATATAATCTTCACCTATGTAAGCTGTCAGTCATGATTTTATAATTTAATTTTTGATTTTCAAGCAAAGCACATACATTCAGATATTTCTCCAAATATGCTATGTACTAAAAATGCTTAGTTTATTTTTTTAGCATAATGGTGTATTCCCATGTCAGTTATATCTAGCAATCTACCTTTAGAAAATGAAACTGCCAAAGATCAACTACATTTATTCATCGGATTATTAGCAAAAACAGAAAGAAGCTACATAGGAAAATATATTTTGAATATTCAAGACTGATGTTTAAACATTAGCTGACATGTTTATTATTATCAATCAATCAATGAATCAATCAATCAGAACAGAGCTGGAAGGGACCTTGGAAATCTTCTAGTCCAACCCTCTCCTGAAGCAGGAAACCCTATATCATTTCAGACAAGTGGCTATCCAATCTCTTCTTAAAGACCTCCAGTGATGAAGCAGCCACAACTTCTGAAGGCAAGCTGTTCTACTGATTAATTGTTCTCATTGTTAGAAAGTTTCTCCTTAATTCTAGGTTGATTAATTCCCATCCATTGTTTCTTGTCTTGCCTTCTCCTTCTTTGAAAAATAAGTTGACCCCCTCATCTTTGTGGCAGCCCCTCAAATACTGGAATACTGCTGTCATGTCATCCCTAATCCTTCTTTTTTCTACACTAGACATTCCCAAATCGTGCAACCATTCTTCAGATGTTTTAGTCTTTAGGCCCTTAATCATCTTAGTTGCTCTTCTCTGCACTTTTTTTCCCCAAAGTCTTAACATCTTTTTTGTAATATGGTGACCAAAACTGGTTGCAATATTCCAAGTGTGGTCTTACTAAGTTTTTATAAAGCGGTACTAATGAAATGTGGACATTTTTATTTAAATTATACAAATCAATATTTGCTCTTATTTTTATAATCATAAATGATTTTATATTTCCTATTCCTTTTTCATTCTATTAAAATAAATTAGACAGATTTCCTTTGGTCTATCCATATTTATCTATGAACTGATAATATTTAAATGCTGCATACAGTATATTAAGTATAGAATGTATTACTACTATTCCACATACTTAATATAGTATTTATCAACAACATTTCCTGGGGCCTCCAACACTATGTTTTATTTCCAAACTATGAATCATGCAGCATAATACTAAGAAATGGTTTATTCAAAGTATTTCATGCTAATTCTTGAGCATATTTGAGAGAACAATAAACAAAATCCAGAAGCAAGTTAGTTATTGTGATCCCATACTGAACATCAGAGTTTAGACAAAGAAAATGTCATATAATCAAAATGTGTACCAAATGAAGGAATGACATCACATTCAAAGGGAATACATTTCACTTCATCATGATTTAATACACAAAGACAGATGCAGAAAAGATTTTAGTAAGTCCTCATCCAATTTACTGTGCGGACCAGCTGTAACAACTGCTATATTTTGCTCTCTTATTTTAGATTAAAAATATATATATTATTGCATATTTAATATATTTGTTTATTGATCAATAAACAAATACATTTGTTCATTAATTGAAGAATGCACTTGTAAAGTTATAAATTTAACATATATTTGTTCTAATAGTGTATTTTGGGATTGAGTTTTTACATCAGTTTTCTGTACTGGAATTAAAAAGCAAAATAAATAAAATGTGCTGTACTAATGTATAAAATAAACAAACAAAAGAGACTTTACTTATAGTAAATATTTTATCTATTCATAAGATGTATGTTTAAAGCACAAGCATAAAGAACATAGTTTAATAACTAGGACATAAAAGAGAAAGCAACATGATATGAGAGGCTTTTTTATTACACAGCTTGGAAAAATATACATAAAGCATCTGTCTCATTTATGCATGAGTTCATTATGTATGTATATAATCATTATTATCACAGTTTTAATCCTCTAATATCTCTGAAAAATCCTAATATTCTTCAATACACATTCATTAATTGGCTTCTTTTCCTTTTGCATTTTTGTATTGGTTTTAAGGCTCTTTTCAAACTTTGGATTTGAAAATGGCACTGCAGTATATAGTTATTTGTGGACACAGAGGTGGCATTGCAGTTCCTGACACTGTTCACAATTTTCTATCAATGTTTGGTTGTGCCTATGTTCAAAGCTGGTGGAGGCTTCATAGCACAGACTTCACCAGCAGGTTCTCTCAGCAGCTGATGCTTCTTTGGCTGGATGTCACAGTGATGTAGGATTTCTTTCATAGTGTCTTTGTAGCCCTTGAGCAGTCGAGGTCTCTACCTAGACTCCAGAACATTACACAGCAACTGGCAAAACATGCAGCAGTCATCCATTCTGATGATGTGTCCCACCTGTCTCATCAGGGCTCAGATGATTAGGGACCAATGCTGGTAGATTCTGCATGATCCAAGACTCCCAAGTCAGATACACAGTCTTGCCAATGAATGCCAAAGAGAGGGGAGAGCGCACATCTCAAATTTCTCCAGTTGTCTGATAAAGAATCCAAGACGCATATCCATATAGGAGGGAAGGGAAACCATAGCTCTGTAGACTTTTAACTTTGTGGAGATGTTGTGTTGACTGAGCATTCTAGTATATAACATAGTGCCTGGCTGGCCTTGCTGATTTTGGAATCAATTACTTTGAGACTCATCACTCAAGACGATGCTTCCCAAGTATTTGAAGCTGTTTTTTGTCGGCTGGGTGTTGTCAACAGTGATTTTTCTTTCTATGGATTTTGTACTGGGCATGGGCTGGTGAAGTACTTCAGTCTTGTTTGGGCTGATAATTAGGACAAAGAGCATAGCAGCTTCTGAGAAGTTGTTTAGCATGAATTGTAATTTCTGTCTCTGTGAGTCACGAGTGCACAGTCATAAGCAAACAGGGTTTTTGAATGACTGTGTGGAGGCACTTTATCTGCACATTCAAGCAGTGAAAGTTAAAAAGAGCTGTCCATGATATCTGACATACACTTCCTCCTTCAGACCTTGATAAGATGTAACAATAGGCAGATGAAGACCAGATTGAATAAGACTTGGGCTAGTAGACAAACCTGTTTTACCCCCATTGGAAATGGCAAATGCAGTTGATGTAACACCATTATAAAAAACCTGTCCTGTCATTCCATTGTGTAGTGATTGAATCAACTTCAGGAATTTCCTCAGACATCCGTAAAATCTCAGAATGATCCAGAGAGCCTCCCTGGTTACGATGTCAAATGCCTTCATTGGGTCAATGAAGACAGAGTAAAGAGGCTTGTTCTGTTCAATGCACCTCATCTGGATTTGCCTTACAACGAATATCATGTCTTCTGTACTTCGTTTTGGCTAAAAGTCACATAGCACCTCTGGAAGTTTTCTTTCTGAGACAGTGACAAGTTTGTTTATGACAATGCAGGCAAAGATTTTTTTTGAGATAGGCAAGAGTGCAATCTGATTTATTTCCATTATTTTAGAAAGTCACAATTAGCGAATCACAAAAGTCATCAGGTGTCTCCTCCATGGGTAAAGTATCTTCCAAGATGTCTTGGAATGCTTGCAAGTCATTTGGGTCTAGTGCTTTACAGATCTCAGCATGAA